GAAATGACCCCTGCGGCTAACCATTAGGCAGAACTTCCCGACAGTCAGAGTGGTTCCTCAGTGGAACAGGTTTCCTCGAGAAGTGGTCGGCTCTCCTTCTTGGGAGGCTTTCAAACAGAGGCTCGATGGCCATCTGACGGCAATGCTGATTCTGTGAACTGGGGCATATCATGAGAGGGAGGGCAGGAAGGGTTGCCTCAGTGCTTAGTTCTTCTGGCCCTTTCTTACATGCCCAGGGAAATGCGGATCGCCACTTTGGGGTCAGGAAGCAAATTTTCTCCAGGCCAGGCCAGTTTGGCTGGGGATCCTGGTGGTTTTCTGTCATCTTCTGGGCATGGAACAGGGGTCACTGGGGGTGTGGAGGGGGAGGTATTTGTGAATTTCCTGCATTGTGCAGGGGGTTGGACTAGATGACCCTGGAAGTCCCTTCCAACTCTGTGATTCCATTGTTCCACTGAGCACCATGAGAATTGCTTGAGTGCTTCTCCTCCTAATTGCTGTTTCCATGACAAAAGTCAAAAACAGCGAAACTGAATAAATATGCACAGAATCAGTGTACACCAGGTGAATTTATTTGTGGAGACAGTGAGATGGGGAAAATATATGCATACAGGAAGTACTGGGATGGAGACAGAAATCCATGGGATAAGTTTAGGGAGTGGCTATGGCTCACTGGCAAAGACTCTGCTTGGCATGTAGAAGGTCCCAGGTTCAGTCCCTGGCATCTCCTGTTCAAAGGATCAAGTACGAGGTGATGTGAGAGACCTCTGCCTGAGCCCCTGGAGAGCACCTGCTGCCAGTCTGAGTAGACAACACTGAGTTCTATGGACCAAGGGTCTGATTCAGTATATGGCAGCTTCATGTGTTCAAGTCTGGTCTCCCTTTATTATATAAGGTTTATAAGATTATGCATGGGAAAGAGCAGGTAGAGAAAGAGGTACTTTTCTCCCTTTCTCACAATACAAGAACTCGTCGTGGGCACTCCATGAAACTGCAGAGCGGTCGGGTTAGAACGGATAAAAGGGAAGTACTTCTTCGCCCAAAGAGTGATTAACACATGGAATTCACTGCCACAGGAAGTGGTGGCGGCTACAAGCATGGACGGCTTCAAAAGGGAATTAGATAGGCATATGGAGCAGAGGTCCATCAGTGGCTATTAGCCACAAGGTATAGATAGGGACTCTGGGGCAAGTGATGCTCTGTCATCTTGGTGCTTGGGCGGGGTCAACAGTGGGAGGGCTGCTAATGTCCTGGCCCCACTGGTGGACCTCCTGATGGCACTGGTATTTCTGGCCACTGTGTGATACAGAGTGTTGGACTGCATGGGCCTTTGGCCTGATCCAACATTGGCATCTCTTATGTTCTTATGTTCTTATTACTTTCTGGAATAGAAACAAATCTAAAGAATTAGTGAAAACGAGAGAGAGAGAGAGAGACAGAGAGACAGAGTCTGAACCTTGTTTAGCTTTTCAAAACTTATCTCATGGATATTGAGTAGTCTCATGTATTACATTTTTTTTTAAGTAAGCAAATGTCTGTCAAAAATTTACTGCGTAGTTGCAAGCATGCCACAGTTTGTTTCAGCAACACACCATCTGCAAGATGGGAAAGATAATATCGACCTACCATGTAGTGTTGTTTTAAGGACCATTTTTATATAAAAAGAATAGGGTCATCATGGCCCATGCCTATGAAATTCTGTGTAGTTTCCATTGCTTTGTTCATTGTATATATTATACTGTCACACTGCTTATTTGATTCTATAATCCAGTTCTGTTGCACTGTTGTTAGATGTGTCATGCTACTTTTGAATACTGTGTTAAAAATGTGAAGATGGTGAGATAGGCTGAGACTTGTCACATGTTTTTTTTTAATGCTTTGCATATCACCGTCTAAAGGGGAGGGGCTTATGAACTTTGAGTCTAGAAGGGAAAGTCACACCTATGATTGACACAATTGTTCCCATTTCTCCCCAGCAAGCTTTGGTGTGGTTTGAGAATGGCTGTCCAAATGCGGGCATGAGTAAATAGTTAGGTTAAAGAACAACAACCATGCCTTTTCTGATCTTACCCAGGGTTTTTTTGTGGTAGTCACCAAGAGCAGGCACCTGGCAGACAATGCAACAGTCCTTTGCTGGCAATGATTACTTGCTTAATCTGCAAGCAAATTAGTTTGCCCAGATTTTGGAATTGGGAATGCAGCAATGCTAGTAAAGGCCAGCAGAATTTCCCAGAGAACTTTTGCACAAGTATTTGATGATCTAGAAAAAAGAATAACCTAAAACTTTTGTTTATTGACCCAAAATCTTTCATCATTCCCTTTCAGCAAGAAATTCTGGCCCTTCTTGAGTATTAACTTCAGTTTTGTCACACAGTTCAGCCCAAGTATGGGAACGGAGTTTCAAGAGCCATTCCAAAGTATGATTAGATTTATGGTGAGGTTTGTTCAAATATTTGTTCCAGCTTTCCTTTTATCCAGATGTAAGAAATCCGCTTTCTTAGACTAACAACTGACGAGTAATCTGCTTCCATTTTATTATGATTTCAGTATTCTGACTATTCCCACAGATCCAATAGGGAGGGGACGGGTGGGGCGCAGACTGCTTCTTTGGTCACTGCATCCATTTGTTAAAAATATTCCATTCTCTGTTCAAAAGCTTCAAAAAGGAATTCATTTACAACTGTGTCATGTACCTGTAATCCAAAAAAGCACAGTACAGTTTCACTCGGTTGCTTTTGTTCACCGCTTGGCTGTACTGGAGAGCAGTCTGAAATGAAAGGAAAGAAAGAAAGATATTTCAGGAGCAGAGTACAATAAGGACATCGGAGTATGTCCCAAGCAAAAAAAAAACCACCTGGTACATTCTGCCCCCCCCCTTTCTATAGGTTTCTTGGCAAAGACTCGTAAGAACATAAAAACAGCCCTGCTGGATAAAGCAAATGGTCCATCTTGTCTGGCATCCTGTGTCATGCAGTGGCCAAACAAACAGGGCATAGAACGCCCGCCCCCCGCCCCACCAATGCTACCTCCTAGCACTGGAATTCAGACGATTGCCTCTTCTGTATATGCAGGTTCCCTTTAGTCCTAAGAGTAGTGACCATGAATGGACCTATCCAGGGCTATTTTTGGGCAGGAACGCACAGGAACAGAGTTCCGGCTGGCTTCGAAGTTGGCCACACCCAGCAGGAACTCATTAGCATAATAGGCCACATCCAACAGCAGAAACTCATTAGGATTGGCTATATTAGGGGTGTGTGGCCTAACATGCAAAGGAGTTCCCGCTACAAAAAAAAGCCCTGGGTTTTGACAACAAACAAGGTAAGCAGAATAAGAAGCAAAAGGTGGGTGTGGCTGGATGAGCACACGTCTGGTAACATGGAGGTGTGGCCTAATATGCCAACGAGTTGTGCTGTCAGGGGTGTGGCCTAATATGGTAATGAATTTCTGCTGTTGGGTGTGGCCTATTACGCTAATGAGTTCCTGCCGGCTTTTTCTACAATAAAAGCACTGGACCTATCCTCCACAATTCTGCTTAAACGTTTGGAAGGGTTGTAGGGGCCATCTCGTCCAACCCCCTGCTCAATGCGGGATCAGCCTAAAGCATCCCTGAGAAGTGTTCATCCAACTGCTGCTTGAAGACTGCCAGTGAGGGGGAGCTTACCCACCTCCCTAAGCAGCCGATTCCACTGCTGAATTACTCCTACTGGGGGGGGGATCCTAATATCCAGCCGGTACCTTTCCACCATAATTTAAGCCCATTATTGTGAGTCCTGTCCTCTGCCGCCAACAGGAACAGCTCCCTGCCCTCCTCTTAAGTGACAGCCCTTCAAAGACGTCAAGAGAGCCATCATGTCCCCCCTCAGCCTCCTCTTCTCCAGACTGAACATTCCCAGGTCCCTCAGCCTTTCCTCGTAGGGCTTGGTCTCCCAGACCCCGATCGTCCTCATCACTCTCCTCTGCACCTGCTCCATTCTGTCCGCATCCTTTATGAAGTGAGACCTCCAGAACTGCACACAGGACTCCAGGTGGGGCTAGACCAATGCGGTGTACAGTGGGACTGTGACATCTTGTGATTTGGAAGTTATGATACACCCCAAGACTGCACTGGTCCTTTTTGCCGCTGCATCACAGTGATTGCCACCTAGGCCGACAGCCATCACCGCCTCCACAGTTAGTGAATTCCACCTGGCGGGCACACTTTGCCAATAGCCAGTGCAAAGGCTCACGTACTTACAAGGCTGTCACTTCAGTCTACATGGTGGAAGAGTGAACGTGTGCACAATGTAATATGTGAGGCAGGTGCTCAATCTAGACACGGGCAGACCAGATTTGCTTGAATTGTTTTCCCAGACCAATAGAAAAATTAAAAAAACAACCTGAGGGTGGGATGGTGATGCCAGATCTTGGTCATCCAAATGGAGCACCCACCTCGCCTTACTTCTGTGTGCCTAAGGGACAGGGTTGCCAGCTCTGGGTTGGGAAATACTTGGAGATTTTGAGGGTGGAGCCTGCAGAGAGCAGGGTTTGGGGAGGGACATCAGCATGGCATAATGCCGTAGAGTCCACCCTCCAAAGGAGCCATTTTCTCCAGGAGAACAGATCTTGGTCATTTGGAGATCAGTTGTAACAGCAGGAGATCTCCAGGTGCCACCTGGAGGTTGGCAACCCCATGAAAGGAGGGCTGCCAATAACCAACATGAACCCCAACAATGATGCCCTCTCGCCCTGCCCTATACCACCCAGATCCGACCCAAATAGCATATGGAAACAAATCACGTGAGTTGCTTGGCACCATGGTTCCCCAGGGTGACCAGGGGCCCTGGAATACTGTCCCCCCCCCCAAAGTCCCTCCAAGCTCGGCAGCCCTGGGGCTGTGAATCCACCACACCACCACACAAACTGCAGAGTTGGGAGTGTGACCTGAATCAAGATCTGGCGGAATGCCAGGTTTGCGGGTGAGACAGGAATGGTGTGATTTATTTTTTTTAATCCCCTTATTTGGCTTACTCATCTGGATCGTTTCAGTACAGCTGCCTTCTTCAGTGAAATGCTTGCTCTTGGCCTGTGGCACGCTGAGAACTGGATTCGGTGGCTTCAGCCCCCCTGACCCAACTCTGGGGACTAGGTGACTACTGGGGACTAGATGGCCACCGAGGAAGATCTTTATGGCCAGCGTCAGCAGCATTTCTGTTTATTGATCTTAGCCTCAGGACACCATAATCTCACAAAACGAATACACGGCACAAAACATTGTCTTGTTATGAACTGCTGTCGAGGCCCTCAGCAGGCAGACAGGCACGCCTCCATTGTGCCTGGATCCCACCCAGATGAGATTCTCCTCCCTGCGTTCAATTTTAATTTTCCATTTATACAGGATTTTTGACTCCTGCGAGGCACTTTGGGAGCCGTTCCTTGGCTCAGTACCATGATAAGAACATAAAAGAATAAGTGCATCAACATTGACAGACATCCTTTGACAACGTTTCCTTTATATTCTATGTATTTCTTCCAATGCAGGACTAAAGGAGGCATGCACTAGGGCTGCCAACCCCCCGGTAGGGCGGAATTCCCCCCGCCCCGGAGGCCCGTTACCCGACGCCGGGGAATCGGGGCCCGGGGGGAACTC